TAATAATAATAATAATAATATTTATTGAGTCACATATACAATTACAATCATGTATGACAAGTCAATATGATGCCTTGGGTGGAGAGAGCATAGTAAACGTGAGCTTTGGCATAGTTAAATATTATATGGATAAGAAGAGCAAAAAGCTATACTTTATATATAAAATATGTTACAAATATATTAAATCAAATAAAATATTTACTGCACAAATGCAACCCCTTAACACACTCCAATACACTACTGTCATGCAAAACTCAAATACAATATGTTTTTAGAGCCTAAAAACCAGATTTTTTGTGTCCACAGGGACAAGTTCCATTTTTCTGAACCCTTTGCTAAAAAATGAGGTCTTTTAGGCATTTAATTCCAAGTTTAGCATTTCAGAGAAAAGTACTCTACTCTATATTTACATTTGTATTTGTGAAAAGCACATTGTTAACAGTATATTTGACTTCCAAAGGACTTTGCGCTGAGGGTGGTTGAGATCACAAGACCAGTTACCACTGTGTTTCCCACCAAAGCAGGAGACGAAGAATCTAGATGATTGCATCACTGATGTTAATTCAAAATAATGCGCTAAAACAATACAAAAAAATCAGTTATTGTTTAAAATCTCATTCTGTTCAAAATAATTTATTTAAATCTGTAAATTCTGATTTAAGGATTGAATATTTGTTAAAAAAAGTACACTAATTCAGAATCCTTTACATGCACAAATGTTTGTAATTTTCATACATATTCACCTAGTCATAATAAATAAAGAATTGATAAATACTTTAATGATACTATCAACACTGATGCCTAAATCACAAGTAAAATTTAGTACTAAATTCTTATTTTCTGATAACTCTAGCTTAATTGTAGAGCCTGCTCATTGGAAATGGATATTTTACTTTTATAAGGAACTCTGAGCTCCATTTTCAAAATTTTAACAAAAGCAGCTCCATATTTCTTCTTTTCATACTTACTCCAATAGATCAAAGTGGGTGTATAAACATGAAGATAATGTTTAGCAATAACTATATTTAATGAAAATCCTGTTTTCATTAAAATCTCATAATTTCCAACAATTTCAATAGTAAAACTTTTTCAAAACTGCCCAACTCCTTCATTATTAGTTAGAAAGTTTTGCCTAATATAAACAATTTGTTAATATTAGTACTTTAATAATTTTATGCACAGTTTTTTTAAATATAAGTTAATAAGTTTTTGTGTACTTTACAGTCAAATCTTGTCAAATATCCAAAAATCTGTGAACATGATTTTCTCAACAATGACTATAATTTTTCTTCAATCTTTTTGTTCATATTGAGAACAATCCACTAACTTGTGTGGCAAAAGTGCTATTTTCTTTAAAACCTATGAATTTTCAAAAACTACACAAAAGCTTACATAACCTCTTTGTTACGGAACAAAGAGAGAAAGAGAAAGGGAGGAAGGCAAGTGTAATGTGTTAATTGATTTTTAACGAAAGCCAAAATAAAAATGTAGTTTTATAAAAATTGTAAACTGACTTCAAAATAAAAAACAACATTTGTAATTAAAAAAGTATATTTTGAGTTTTGTTTATTTGAGTGTATTCTCATTCGCTTTTTTGATTAGCATGTCTTCATTTAACGGCAAATGCTATGTAAAGACATTGCCTAAACACAAGACTAAATAAATGTTAAAAATTTATTTAATTTTAAGATCACTTTTTGTAATTCTCAATTCTACATTTTAAATTGCATTTTTTCATGAAATATATGCTTAAAAGTAGAAATTTAAGAAAGAAAAAACTGTCATCATATGAAGTCTGTGCATCCACTTGACCCTAATTACTAATACTCTAAATATTCATAAATCATTTTCAACATTATGCAGTGTAAGATAGGAGTAGAGGGTTGCCGTGGTTTAGAGGTCCTTCACAACACTAAAACCTACTGTAAAGGTAAATCTATTAAATGACAAATGTTTTAAATATTAGTGTTAAAGAGTATGAATTTCATTTTTAATGAGTAAACATACAAGAAATATTCATATATTTTTATATTTCAAAGAAACTATCTTAGGTGTCAGTTATGGTTGACACTATATATAACAGAGAAATTACTTGAAAATTATTTGGAAATTAGTGGAAATTATTAGGTGCCGTCTAATTAAGAATTACTTTTGAAATGAATCTAGTTTCACAATTTATTTCTGTAAGTCAACAATTCATTTCTTAAAATACAAATCGCTGAATACACACAAAGAATTTACACAATTTTATTTTATTAAATCATGATGTATCAATACTTTTAACCTTAATACTCTTTAGTCAACCTGACTTTTCCCAATCTTTCAGTCACCCTTTCTTGATCTCTCTTTTCATATCTCACAGTATCTTGGAGGAAGACATTATTTTTTGTTATTGCTTTTTTGATAGAGCGTTTCGAAGTGCTGTCAATGTAAAAAAAAAATTGCATAGCTGTTTTGTACAATGTGTTTGGTGATTTATGTAAATTAGACACATTTGTAATTAATAGCTAATGTTGTTCTAATGAATAGCGAAAGTTTGCTTTGTGAGTCATCAACACCTGAATATAATAATACATTTCAAATTGAGAACCTTAATATACGAAAACATTCAATAATTCTTTTATTTTCCCCTTGAGATTCAAAAGAATATTTAGGTTCCTCTGCAATTTAGGTTTTGTCATAACAACGATTCATAAACAAGTATGAAATTTTTATATTATTAATTTAATTTTTTTTTTCTTGTGCATTTCACAGAAACAGTAGAAAGTTTTCTTGGTACCTCAGGGTACCTCAAGATCCCAAGATAAGAATCACTGCATGAACATTGCGGAAGATTTAATAATGTTTTTCATCAGAGATTCACATTAAATTCCTTAGTGCATTTTTAATACCCATCTTTTTTAATATATTTTAAGCTTTGGTACCCATAACTCTTCAGTATGCACTGCCTTATCACTTAGCAACTTCATAATAATACCCTCTTTTAACACATAAAATTTGTAGTTGCAGATGTGTCATTTTTTGATGCCAAAGGTAATACTGGCATCCTTGCTGTTTGATGTGAATTCTATACCCCTTTCCACACTGTCACAAATTCAAAATGACTGGAAAGCTTTCTGCTATAATGGCATTCAAAGTTTGGAGATTTTCTTAATACTTTGAATGCCATGTACAACATTTTTATAAATTCTTTGTCTTCTCGAGAAAAAAGTGTGTAACATATTTGTACACAATTGTTTGCAGAGAGAGACAAAAACATCCCTTGGGCCACATGTATCAATATTATCCGAAGACAATGGGGGACAACCCAAAAAACTGCCTCTCTGAGTGTTAAAATAATCATAAGATGTACTCTATTGACAGACTCAGTTCAAAACCACATATTTCAGAAGGCCAAAATACTCCTGAGAGTACAGTGAAACCTCTAAGTAACATTTTTTTAAGGGACCATGAATTTTGAACCCTATGTAGAGGAAAACAGAGTACAGAGGAAGACTGTGGTCCTTTGATCGGGACAGGAAAAAAAGAACGTAACATAGAGGAAAACATTATATAGAGGAACGTTATAAAGAAGTTTCACTGTATCTAATTTCTAATGCACTTTTAAGTGATCAATCTTTTTAAATGATCCTTCCATTCTGTAATTGAATAGCATGGTTTTTGTTGAACAACATCAAGAAATTTCATTTAGACCAAAAACCCAAGTTAATACATGCATATGTACTGTCTGTCTTCTGAATCATTGAATAGGTTTGTAAAATATCTATATTTTTTATGTTGAAATGACAATTCAAAAACTTTTTTTTTAAAGAACTCTCTTATCATATCAGTTATATTAGATCAGTTCATTCTATTGTTCACAACTCTTAATCTCTTATCTTAATAGAGTATAAAATAATTTTTTTTGGGGGGGGGGGGGTTGTTGTTGTTGTGGTAAATAAAGATTTATCTACCAACCTTAATTTTAGATCTGATCTTCTGCATCAAATATATCCTTCAACTGTGTAGCATGATTTTGTCATATTTATATATTGCTGATAACATGATAACAGTGGCTGCACATGGGCAGATCGGGTGATCACTCGGGGCCCTGCAAGTGAAGGGGCCTGATAATGGCACTGATGGAAAAAAATTATTAAAAACTTGAAAAAGAAATAAGAACTTGAGAAACTCATTATTTTAATTTTATAAGCGGTTGCAGTAGTCTGATACTTCATAAAATTTTCAATTAATCTTTTACCTTAAATAGTAACTAATTGTAGTCATTACTTATAATGTAGTTCTCTATGAAATGAATTAAATGATGCTAACATTAAAATAGGTTCTACTGAAATTCATATTTAGTATTTCATGTATTTAAACAGTGATTTTATTACACACCAACTAAACACAACAAATGTTTTTAGTGTTTTAAATCACTGTGAAAATTGTATTATTTGATCACTTAATACTTTAACTTAAAACTATTATTTTAAATATATTTCCAAAAACTTTTTGTGGCTTAAATTGTAATTTTTGTTATTTTTTGCAATAAAATAACTCGTATAGTTTCTTACAACTTCACTTTCATACAACTTTCACATTTAAAATATGTTTGGTGTGAGGGGAGTGGGCAGAGTTTCAGCATTGCTCTGGGCCCAGAATTGTCTGCATTGGCTTTTTAATGCCCAATCTTTTTCTGCCTACAAAGATAAGTAACATAGCACAAGTATTATTAGATCAGTCAATTGTAATAAGAAATTGCAAATAATATATATTTTCTTTTTTTTATACTTCTTGTTATAATTCCATAATAAAATGCATTTATAATCATTATTCATCACAATTTACACACACAAATAAAATCCCGAAAACTTGAAGGAATCGAACATCTATTTAATGACATTCATTTATTTTAAGGCAAACACTTTTATGATTACACTTGTAATATATTGTTCACATGTAGATATTATATAAATTTAAAGTTTTATTGTTTTTAATTTTTTGTTCTTTGTGAACAGATAAGAGAAGACTGGAAATATGTAGCCATGGTGATTGATCGGCTGCAGCTGTACATCTTCTTTTTGGTGACAACAGCAGGTACTATTGGTATCTTGATGGATGCTCCTCACATATTTGAGTATGTGGATCAGGACCGCATCATTGAGATTTATCGTGGAAAGTGAACTCTATTCACTGTGTTCAGTGCTGCTGATAGTCCACAGGTGGAAGATGAAACAATCAGAGTTTTACACTCACAGCCAGTATCATCTTTAATTGTTAGAATGAGAATATTATAATATGAAGGCAAATACCAACGATAGACATAATGACAACAATTTAAACGTTGTTTTTCTTTGTTACTTAGTGTCAATATAATATGTTATTGTGAACAGATGCAGGAATAGGCCTAATGGATTCTTTGGCCCTAGTTTTACCCATCAACTTTTATAACACAGAGTTGCAAAGTATCTGTGTCTACTGTTGAGAGAAAATGTGCTTACAGACCATAACATAGAAACATTCACTTCAGTATCATGAGAGTGCTCAAGATAATACTAAGGAAATCAATGTGTACGAACATTCCATCAAAAAATGATGTTGACACATCCAGAGTAAGTAAAAATGCCTTCTCTTCCAGACTTATGAAAATGTATGGCAAACACAGCTGGCTGCTCTTCTCACTAGAAGCAAGAACTGGTATGACTCGAAGTGTGTGTAGAAGGCCAAGCAAAATTACATTATTTTCATTTGGTATCATTGTGAGTGCACGTTTTAGAAGTACATAGATAACACTGTGGTAGATGCCGTAGTTGCTTTGTATTCACCAAGTTGTCCTAATGAAAACAAAACACCTATGAAATGTAACTCGCAGGTACAAAGCTAGACAGGAAATCAAAATGTTACGAACACGTAAACACACCTGATTCGTGCTCAGTTAAAAATGAAGATCAGAAAATTATCCTATGGACTTGTAAAAATTTTTTGTAGTCTACATACAATATGTATGTATAAAATTATTTCATGGAGACTATTTTTCGTCGGTGATTTTTGTTTTTTCCTCAGAATTATTTTTGTTGAAAAGATTTGATTTTTGCTATTATCCATCCTTGTTCTTGAGAATTACTTTTCTAAGAATTTAATGAAAAAAATGAATGATCACCTTAAAATGTCAAATACCTGCCTCATGTGAGACGAAATCTACTCTTAGTATACAGGTCAATGTAGGCTCACTTGGTAGGGCAAATCTAATTGCCCTAATGTTGCATCATTGATGTATATGTAAAGTATGTCAGATAAATGTTAAAATTACATCAAGGTGCAAAGCATGAGCTTTATACATGAAACTGTGATTCATAATCATACAGGTATGCGTTTGTTAACAGGATTGTAAGTGTAGATGAAATTATTTATTGCAGTATTACATTTCAAATAAAAATATTGTTTGTTATGACATTAAACAATAAATAGACATTTTAATAAGTATGGAATACAAAAGACAGGTCAAATAACTGTAAATTGTTTCCTCAGATCCAAAAGTATAACTGCAATAAAAAATACAGAAATTTTTAACATCTTACAAGCATGCGTTTCATCTTTATATTTCAATATAAATAAGCTGTAACTGGTGACATCAGTCAGGGTCATACGAACATTCATGTCTTCCAAAGAGTAAAGACTAACCACACATGATGTTTGTCACACAGTATATGGCATTTATTCTCAATATCTTTTAATCTCTCTTCTTTTCCTTTTCATCATCAAAATACTTTCAACTGTGAATTTGATCATATTTGTCCAATATCTTTTTTGTAGCCAGAATACCCTTACTATTTTCTTACTGGCAATTGGTCTGCGATGTTGTGCTGTGTATTTTGTGTTTCATTTTATTTTCTGTATGGAATTGTGGCTCAGGAATTTAGTAACTATAACTGTCACAAAAATTCAAAGCTCAATATGCCAAAGTGGAAGTGAAGCAATGAGGTTTTTGTACTAAATTGAAAATATTTATTCCAATGACATCTTCATTTAACTTGGGAGCCTTGTATAAGAATTACAAGGCATTTCTATGTATGTATCATTGGCTGTATATTTTCTTGCCGGTAGCCTATAAGTATAAAGTGATAAATTTAGCAAGATCAAAATGATAACATTTCTCAGAACTTTAAATTGGTCAACAATTTTTTAACATTGACTAAGAATTATATTGTGTATATGCAAAGAATTTTATTCTCTCTTTAAGTATTGAAATGGAATTTATGAACAAATTCCATTTCAAGAATAAAATCTTTTATATTACTTTCATTGCTTCACTTCATTCCAGTTCCTTGCTTGCATTTCCTTCAACATGCATTATTGAGCTTTCTTGTAGTTAATTAATATTGCAGTACTGTCAAACGCATTGTAGTGACAATACTGGCATCTGAAAAATGAGTCGTCACTCTGTGAATAGTAAAGAATTTAGTACTTGTACATGGAATGATAGTAGTTCTACTTGTACAATAATATGCAAAAAAAACAAAAAAAACATACTGTGTAACTCTTCAAGACAATCAGCAATTTCTTGGGGATGGAAAAAAGTATGATATAATCAAACTATTTCCAACCACAAATATCTGATAAAGGGAAACAAATCTATAACTATTAAATTTATAAAAAATTAGCACAAAATAATATTAAAAACTGCATACATGTAAGAAAAGAAATATGTCAGAGACAACCAGAAAACATTTGTTTTTAATATTTTATGAGCATTACAAACAAAAACTTCATCATAAATGTCTGTTGAACATTTTTATTATTTGAATTCTACTTTACAACACGAATAATTGTAACTTCACATTTTTCAGTGACTTTCATGTTGCGTTAGGACATATTTGTAATTAACACTGATTTTAGAAAATGTTTGATTGAAACAGAGTAACTCAATGATTCTCTTTTAAATAACGTTATGTTTCCTTTAGAATTTTGCAATTGTTGTCAGTGAACCTCTCTTTAAGTAAATTTTATGAAATTTCCAGAGATTGATTGTTGAAGGATTTCCAATGCTCTTATAATTCCACCATACACAATTCATCTGCCCTACAAAACCATGCATTAATAAGATCTATTAAATCCTTCAGTATTATTTAATTTCTATAAGGCAATATCATTGTGCTCTTCTTTATTGCATATAACAATCTGGCAAATTTCAAAACATCATTGTGTGGAATAAACTAGTAAGTGCAATAAAACCATGACCCAAGAGACTGCATAAATGCTTCAAAATGTTTATTGACTTGTCATATCTCTTAGTGTTCGTGTCACACTGTGTAACACAACTTATAAAGAGAAGCGTAAATGCCCTATGTAGGAGGTATTGCATTTTTGAGTGATAAACATTTTGACAATGATACATTTTTGTCCGTGTTCCTGTACTGATAATAGAAATTATAAGTTAATGATCAAAACTACAGTAATTTTCCTTAATATCAGATTTTAAAAATTTAAAATGGAATGTAGAAAGTGCAAATTGTGGTACAAATGTGCCAACAACAGTAATGGTTTTTTCCTGTGTCAAATTTCAAGAAAATTAACAATGGAGAGATGAAAGAGATCCAGCAATACTTCATTCATTGCATCATACATTTTGCCACATCACACTTTTTTAAATAATGAGACAAATGATAATTTCTGAGAAAAAATATACCCAGGGTTCAGCAGGGTTAAACAATTTATAAATCCAAATTTCAGATAGTAATAGAAGTTACCAATCCTGATAGGAAGAAATGATCATTCTATTACGTATGTGTTTGAAGTCAAAATGTACCTTTCTTTCAACAATGAGCATTCAAAATGTTCAATGGTAATACTTTTTGAATGCTTATTAAATACATAATGTCACCTCCTAATATTAAGATTAAGTTTCCTTATTTCATCCTCATGTAAACTGTGAACTATGTATCACACATTGTTTTCATTAAATATGTGCTTAGGTAAAAATACTAAATTATAGTTAGTTTCATAATAATACTGATAATTAAAATGTGTAGATTAGTTACCATGCAAAATCTGAGTAGTTTCTTATCTGCGTAACATAATTAATCATGGATAAATTCAATATCTTTGAATCCATCAACACTAGGGTAGAAAAGCGTGGTGGTCATGTAGGAATGTGTGCAATCCCATTCATGTAATGTGAACATCTAAAGACAAAAACCTACTATAATGTGCATCATATATATACGTGAATTCTCATATGCAGTCACACAATATGCTAATAATTATTATTTCTTAAGGTAACAATCAAATTTTAATGAGACTTTCCATCCAAAAATATGTATTATTTATTTAAAGAAGAAGACAGCAGGAGTATTTCAATATGAAACTTAATATTCAATTATATTCTTTTAATGATAAAAAAAACTCAACACTTGTATAAAACAAATTATTGTGTTACATTTGAAGTTTTCTCACTACCTGGCCTCTACATAAATAATTTTTAAAAAATCAATTTTATAGATAATTTTATAAACAAGACATGAGAACATAAATTAAATTCTGGTACTGGAGAATCTTAATAAATTGTATATATTTAAATATGGTTACTCAGAAACATTCAACCAATTATTATAATGTTTAAATTAATGTAGTGCAACTGTCTCTGGTCCTTGGTTATGTTTGTCAGTTTTAAAAGTAAATATTGAAAAACTCTTTAATACTTAATTTACCCCTTCATTACCCACCAATTTGACCTTAAAACCCACTGAGCCCCTTTAAAATACAATGTAAATTTCACAGCTTACTTTTCCTTTCTCATCCTACTTCCTTCAGGGACTTAATTAGAATATTTTATGTCTATGAATAAAATTATGAATCACTGAAATACAACTTGGAAACCTATAAACTAAAATTAACCCAAAAAATAAACTATTATGACCTGTAATTCATCTAATTAAATACACATGAGGATATTTCTCAATGCAACTAGGGTGTGGAAACTTCAATGACACTTTCAACATTAATTGCTGTCATGGAGTCTGTATTAATGACAGAATTTGTCCCTTGAAAATAGTTAATCATTACAAGAAGATATGAGACTCCCCATATGTTCATATCAAAAAATAAATAAATTAAAAAATCAAAAGTAAAGGTGCACATTTTGTTATAATTTCATTTACAAAATGTTAAGGCTCCTTAGTCAGTTATAGTAGTTGCATATTAATGAATTTTAGTATTGCAATATACATTTCAAAATCCATGTTCCTCTTCAGGAAATTTGAAAATTAGGAAACAAACAGATCTGATGTGTATTGATAATCAAATTTACCTAATTGCCATTTAGATTATTTTCTCAACAAACCAATATTTAGGTTGTGTCAGATCACCACGCAAGTAAAGTTAATACCAGAATAAGAAAATACTAGTATTAAACCATTTTTTTTTTTTTAAATTGAAAGGTAATTGATGGTTTTCAGGCACAACCAGAGGTAAAATGGAAATAAAATGTAGTATATCAAATTTCATCCTAATAGATCTCCTTCCTGGTCAAAAAATTTATAACAATTGTGTTAATTCCATGTGTCAATTTCAAAAATCTCTCTTTAAAAGTAACAAGTTCATCATTGTCCACTATTGCTGAATTTACAGCTCTCCTATTGATGCTGGGGTACAACATAGGATTCAGTTAGTTACTACAGAGAATAAAAATCAACATTCTTGTGTTGGGTAAGTCACAACCTGTGTTTTGCAACTTTCAATGGTGACTTTCATTTGAACTAAATTTTTTTTAAATTATGAAACCAATAAACTTTTGTGTAATTGGGATCTAATTTTGGATGTGGTTGCCTTCTTAGAAAATTGGTACCCATCATAACTTACAATAATATAATGTACATTAGCATAGCATGAGGGGAGACGATACAATCTACCCATGAAGATCAATAAGTAGAATGTACTAGAAAAATTTCTTCTTCAATTCTAAGTCAGGGCTGAATTCATCACTGTTAACCAATTTATTCCTCACTTTTCAACATCAGTATTTTAACATAAAATTCATTTTAATCATTTCTGAGCTTAATACACGAATCCCTTAGATCCTAAAAATGACTAAAATGTGTTAAGATCCTAATGTGGGCTTAATTAGAATTTAAAAATTTTAAATAATGCAAAGTTGACTTGAGAAAACTCATTTTTTATGTGGGTTGATCAGTATTTTACAGTGGCCTGAACTGAACTTTCAACTTTGCTGTTTCTATTGCTACTAATTAGATTAATACATATGTCCTGCTAAAAATTAGAAGGTAGTTTAATTAGTAGAAGAATCATTTCTTCTACTAAGTGAAATGATGAACATCATTTAAGATGTTTCATGGAAGGAAGAAAGGACTGTAAGGGATGTGACAAAGCTCTCAAAAATTCAAATTCAGGTTTTGCAAAGATATAGGTATTTTGTAAAGACACAAATGAAGTTGTTCTAGTAGAAGAATTATCTGAGATATTACCATGGAGACCAAGCTGTGGCATCTAAGGCATCTATGGAGTGTGCACCACTGACTTCATGTAGCACTGATTCAACCTTTTCTCATTTCAAATGTGCATTGACAGACAATAGGTTGTTCGTCATATAAGATATTTTGGGATTGCACATGATTCTTCATTGCAATAGTTAATGGTTAATCTGTCAGTGGTTAATAAAATATAAATAAAAGTTAATCTAATAGTGGATTTTTTATTTGGATACTAATTTTCAAGGGAATATTTCAGTAGTTGAAAAATCATTCTTAAATTTTATATGCCCTTTTAGGAAGAACTTTGCTCAAATTTAGAAGTAAAAAGTATTGAATATTAAGAGTTAGAAATTTAAAGTTATTATTTATTGTAATTATTGTTCAGCCTGGTACAAATATGATTAGAAAAATGATCAAAAGCTAAAATGGGTGAAATCGACTTCAAAAAGCCTAACCTGATGTTTATAAATTTCTATGCTTTCCGGTTGGTAGTTATAAGAAAAGGCATAAGCTTGCACGATGAGTCAATGTTACAAGAAACCCTTGTGTCTCAGAGCGGCGTCTAGAGTGATTAGTATTTCCGGACACATGAACCACTAGAATCAATAGTCGCGGAACTGCAGCGCATGGTTTAATCGCGGTAGGTGGCGGTGATCTTCCCTCGCTGGATGGCGAACTTCACGTCGGCTTGCAGAATTTTCCCCAGCCAGGTATCTCTCACCAGCGAGGTACCGCATCGGCCGGGATGAGCTCGACGATCACCCGACGTTTGTGGTAGTACAATTCATGTAAATGTGTGTGTTCGAACCCTAAGACTTCCGATTAGAGGCACTGCAGTGACATCAATTGATGCCCCGCGACACCGAAGTCGGTGCAGTGGCTGAGGATAGACAGTTTGAGTTGTTCTTTACAACGACAATTTTCCGTTGGCAAAAGCTCCACGCTCATTTCAGCCGCCAAACGAGGAACTCAAATGTGGGACCTCCTTAGGGCGTTAGCACGATGCTTCAACCGTTAGACGTGTACACTGAGGTGACGGGATACCTAATATCGTGTGGGACCTCCGGCTGAGCAGTGAAGTGCAGCAACTAGACGTAGCATGAACTCAACAAATCGTTGGAAGTCCCCTGGAGAAATATTGAGCCATGCTGCCTCTGTAGTCCGTAATTGCGAAAGTGTTGCTGGTGCAGGATTTTATGCACGAACTTACCTCTCGATTATGTCTCATAAATGTTCGATGGGATTCATATCGGGCGATCTGGGTAGCCAAATCATTCGCTCGCATTGTCCAGAATGTTCTTCAAACCAATCGCGAACAATTGTGGTCCGGCGCATTGTCATCCACAAAAAATTCATCGTTTGGGAACATGAAGCCCATGAATGGCTGCAAATGGTTTACAAAGAGCTGGATACAAACAATTCCAGTCAATTGGACGAGAGAACCCAGTCATTCCATGTTGTTGTATGATAGACAAAGGGCGCCAACTTGCAAGCGCGCCAGAAACTACCGCGGTGGCCATGCCAATTGAGTATCGTTTGTAGTAATTCATACAACATGGCGGCAGCGGTAAAAGTGTGAATTTACCAATATCAAGCGAATGCAATTAGATGACACTCTAACCTTCGATAAAGCCGTAAAGATGATAATACAATCTGAGGAGATTAGAAAGCAAGTCGAAAACCTACTGTAAACCGAATCGCAACACTTAAAAGAAAAGGCACTAACACTAAATGCACAGGCAGTGAGAAGAAATATGTTGAGAAGCAAAACAAAAAATCTTATACGAGACCTAACCTCAATTCCAGGCAGACAAATAACTGCCAATGGTGTGGCCATGAAAAACACGGGCGCAAATCATGTCCGGCCAAAACGGAAGATAAACTAGAGGTAGATGTGCTACGCGTTGATTTGACGAGAGCGGGGATCCTAACGACTTATGGATGGTGATGATACAGATTAATAGGAAGAATATCCGGTTCAAAATCGAGACAGGTAGTGACGTTACACCCCTCTCACCAAAGTATGCCGGAGACAGGACATGGAATAAACCTGCAGGGAAGGTAACAGGTCCGGATGAAACAGAGATGGAAGTCCAAGGAATTGAGTAGGCCTCGTTAACCTACAAGGACAGGACTTTACATGGAACAGAACAGAATCTAGGGTGTATATTTGTGGTCTGCCTGTCACTAATGAGATTCTTCGTCCGTAACTCTTGTCGGGGTGTCTTCTGGTGTGTTGCGACCCCTCTTCCCCGTACAGGGACGGGAAGTGGGAGTCTGGGTAGTGAAGTGACTGGTAGTTTTATTAGGGGGCTTGAGGGTGAGGGAAAGGGAGAGGAATGGATTTAGGAGGGGAATGGGATGGGATATAAAAGGGATAAGGAATATTTAATGTTCGTCTTGGGTTCAAAGTGAGTCAGTAGTGTGTCTGTTGTTTAAATCGTCTATGTCGTTTCATCTTGTTTCACCCTCTAGCCTAGGTTATGGGAGGAGGGAGTTGCAGGATGTCGAGGTGTTTTTTCCGAGTGTGCCGGGGGGATTTCTTAGGATATGGTGGTGGGGTAGGATAAGGTTTCTAAATTGAGGATTGGCGATGAACTTTTGTAGGGTTTGTACGGAGGAATTCTAAAGGTGGGTAAGGATATGGGGCATTTTGTATTGTTGTCGTAGGTCCTTAAAGCGGGTTAACGGAGGAGGACGGAAGATCAGTCGGATAACTCGGTTTTCAGTGATGGTTAGTCACCTAAGAATAATCCTGTAGTTTATAATGGATATATTGAACCATGTGGGTCACTAGTCGTCGACAGTATGTCCTTATGTGGTACAGTTTTTGGCAAACGTTTGCATTGGGGGATTCGGTCAGAGTTTCTGTAATTTTAGATTCTAGTCCTGTAGTAGTCTATGTACATTAGTTTGTTTTTGGTCTCAGTCATGTCCTATTTTGTAGTTTCAATTACGTACAGTCCAAGTAGGGTAAGGTGTCCGTTAACGTCGCATCGGTTCATTTCAGTAACGTGGAAACCGAAGTTTTTTAAGCCCTGGAGGTTTGTCCTAATTCTCTCAAGGTCGTAGTTAGGGGGGAGTACTTTTAGGACAAATTTCTCCCTGATTTCTTCCGTCGCTCTATTGTATGAGTATGAGATGTTCACAAAACATGTCTTTGAGGTCTGTCGTAGATATTAGTTCTAGTCGGTCCCGAATTTTGTTGTAGGCAGTCACAGTAAGGGGTTGAATCAGAAGTTGTGTCCTGTTGCACTTGGCAGTCATTGCTTTGTGACTGTGTTATGCCTACTGAATGGTGTTCTCCAATGGTCACCGTCAAGAAGGATAGCAGTCCGAGAATTTGGGTCGATCTTAGGGAGCTGAACAAAGCCATACAAAGAGAGCATCATCCTATCCCAGATGACCACTACACTCGGAATCGAATCAAGGGGCACACATTACGTGACCGATAAAGATTGTGAATAATGCACTGATATTGAAATGGCGACAAATAGGTCTTGACGTAAGATACTCGCTGCTCCGTGTGGAAATATTACGACCAGGTGATCCTCTCCTCATGTTTCAACAATGCAAGCGAACGGCATCTTCTGGTGAAATTTTTGTTTCTTGAAAACTCTCGTGTCCAACGCCAAAGCTGAGAGGTACTGTGTTCTAAATATAAAATATTACATCGCGTTTTCTCCTCTGCAATTAGGTTTGCGGATTTTAGAGAAACATTAAACAATCTCCAAAGCGCGAAACTTGAACATGCAAGAGTTTAGAGCGAATGTGTCAAGTCATGTGTCAAGAATGTGGCTTATAATTGTGTATTAGAGGTCATGCGCCAAATTTAAATGAAATGTGAAACAGTAACAAAGGCAGCTGTTGGCCAGAGGCAGTGCGGTGGAGACGGGGGCAGGCTAAGGCAAGGAAAGAGCGGTCGCCGCCATATCGAGACAGACCTCCAATGCATCGTGGTCCGCTACCGGCACTGACAGTGGGTTCCGTGGTTGGATTACGGTGGACTCTTTCTCCTCAGAGGGTTCTGTTGCTGAGGATTGACTATCAAACAATGCCGATAAACCTCAACAGCAAGTTACTTGTGCTGAAGGTGATACCAATGTAAGAATATTTTGATTATTTTGTATAGTCACACTGTTCAGTATTACATTTGTATAGCATGCATGTATAACGTGAGTTTCTTTCCAATTCGAACTATTAAATGAATTGTGAGAGTAAAGAATAAAGAAGGAAAAACCAAGTATCAAATTAACTTTAAAGTTTTGATAAAACACGCAGAGATGTGCATGATAAGAAATATATGTATTGTTTTTTATTTGTATAAATATGTTTTTTATGTTTCTTTTACATCACTATTATCAGTAACGATGTTAGCTATTACCAGTATTAATTTTTCATTATTACATTTTAATTTACCAATTGCTTATTTATCATTTCTTTCATTAAGTTAGAGAATTGTTAGTTTTAGCTAACAATACATTTTGACAACAATAACAGTACTGAGAGGGAATGAATTTGTTCTCCTCTCGAATTTCCCAATGATCTATCAGCTCTTTTGTAGTTTTGAAATGTTAACTTTTTACAATTTTCGAAAATCCAGAAAGTACTTTCAGCACCCCTTTTACCATTTTTGATACATACGAGAAAATTTTAAAGAAAATCTGGAGCCGTTTATTAGAAAAAATGTTTGAAAATTGTCTGTATTTCACACAAAATTACACATATTTTCTAAAACGTGTACGTGACATTTTTTTCAAAATCTGTCTTTCAACCGGTGCCGGCTGGTGCCCCAACAGACTGAAGGTTGCACCTCCATCGAATGACGGAAATGTAATTTCCAAAATTCAAAATACGAAAATATAATAAAAGTGTAAACAAATCAAATTAAAACTAAGTTAAATAAAAGTATATATTGAATCATTACTTCCAAAATTTTATACGTGGTGACTGAGTCAGATATACTACACCTCCCGCGCACGTGGTTTAGATTTATTTAGTCTAAAAACAGTAAAAAACTGTATGTGACGTGTGGGAGAAAATATAATATGCGCACGTTTTCTTGAGTTCCAGAATACCTTCCCGTCATTATAACTATACGAGTACATAGTTGAAAGATGAGCAAAAGTTTAAAATAAATAAATAAAAATAAATTTTAAAAATGCGCGAGATTAGCAATATTTGAAAGATAGACATTTTCGTTCGCGAGTTATAGAAAACTTTTTTGCATCGGTAAACGAATTGTTCAACAAAACGTGCGCATAGTGAAGCTACATTTACGTCCAGAAGCAAAACAAGGGGCCATCTCAGCATTTGCTCAATTGATCAGGGAAACTAGACAAAAACCTGATTGAGATGGGGGTCATTGACCCGGAAGCTGAAGTACATTATTTATTACAAACATATTAGGTTTTTTTTAAAAAAAATATACAATAAAATTTAAACTAATTCAATATATCACTGTTTTGTTAAAATAAACATTATTTTTTTCTTCTTGATAATTGGTATATTCTCTAATTGTATAGAAATAGTTATGCAGCAGAAAAGATTTTACTTTTAACTTAAATTTGTGAAACGATTTCAATTGTTTAATGTCATCTGGCAACGCGTTGTAAAGTAACGTACACGTATTGTATGAGGATTTCTAATAGTGAGCAATTAATACTGATATTTGATGAACTTTATTTTTACGACGTGTGTTGTAATTATAAATATCAGTATTGCATGAAAATATGTTCCCACCGTTAAGTAAGTCACTATTGACAAATATTACAGATTCGTAAACATATAGGAAAGGCAGTAGTAAGATTCCACGCTCAATGAAGAGAGGCTTGCAGTGATCACGCGGATGGCATTTGTTCATTATTCGAATAATTTTCTTTTGCGATCTATAGGTCTGAGTACTGCATGATAAGTTTCCCCAGAATATTATGCCATATCTCAGGAGGGAATATACATTTGCAAAATACACGCAACGATCTGCGTGAAGGCTGAAATAATTTGAAAGAATTCTGAATGCGTAACATAATGAACTTAATCAAATGTTTAATTTTGTTAATTGTATATTGCATTTGAGGTTTGACTGATTTGAGAGACCTAGAAATTTTGTTACCTGAACATCAGTTAATTGCATATTGATCATTTTCAATGGAGCATGCGATTGCTGATTTGAAATGCAAAAATGCATTGAAACTGTTTTTCCTTCGTTAACTATTGATTTGTTATTACAAAACCAATTTGAAATTACTAAAATCGTACTATTTATTATTATTTTTTTGTAAAGTACATTCGTGAACGGCAAAGAGAACCCTTCTTCCTTTTTTAATAGACGAGGGCATATCGTTTACGTATAACAGAAAGAGGATCGGACCTAATTCAAGCCTTGCGAGACCCCATATTAAATTGGTAAAGAATTGGAAAGATAAGTAAATAATGTCCTTTCGAGCCTAAACGGTATTTCTACTGTTTGAGATCGATGTTTAAGGTACGAGGTAATCCAATCTAGAGTGATACCACAAATTCCAAAAGAAGGTAATTTGGTAGCACGATGTTATGATCAATAACGTCAATAGCTTCTAAAAATAAGATCTAAAAAGAAAGATCTAAAAATATTCCAATAAGTGCTTCATTTTGATCCATTGATGAAGCAACAGTTTTAAGAAAATAAAAAATGGCAGTTTCCGTAGATTTTGATTTTCTAAACCTCTTGAGTCTGAAAACGTTTCGTTTCTCCTGAGAAAAGTTTCCATTCGCGTATAAAAAACCCTTTCTAATATTTTTGAAAAATCTTGACAAAAAAGAAATTTGTCGATAATTTTTAATTTCATTTTTGCTCTCTTTTTTAAAAAGTGGCTTAATTTTTGCTGTTTTAAAAAAACCAGAAAATATTCCTGTGCATAAATAAGCATTGAAAATGTGAGTTAATGGGTAACTGCAGCTTGCTTCATCTTCCAAGAAAGGGACTTTCTTCCACATCGGCCAACATTACACAAAGAATTCATCATGTGCACATTTTAAATACGTAAATCTAATATAAAATGAAAACAAATTCTCTAAACATCATAAATAATTTATTAAATGCTGCCAATAATTGACTGAATGTGTTCTTTCAATAACAAGCGAAATTCATAAAATTACGTCACAGCGCGTCAGACGAAGATAGAATTTTGGTATTCCTCTTTCTTTTTTCAAAAATTACATAAATGTAATAGTTTTGGCAGATCTGTCACGCCCGTTATATATATATATATATACAGCAATTTCTAAACACTATTTTATTTGTGAGTTAAAGTGCTTCAAATGCCTTCAAATTAAGTTTTTCAAAACTCAAAACTTTTCTGCGAAAAAGTGCTTCAAATTTTGAATTTACTGCAGCGCTTAAATGCCATTTTCTTAAAAACGGCTCAAAATTTTTCAAAGAAACTTGCCATTTAAGATGAGGTTTTACTGTTCTTTAATATTCGTAAAATAATATTTCCGTTCTACAGTTAGGAAACCGAAAAATGAAGAGAATTTCAAAAAACTTTTGGGCGGCCATGGATGGCAGCTGGCAAGTGTATGTGGCAAGTCCGAATAGCTAGCCGAGACCAAAGGAAATAGAAAACTAATACGGGAAAGTCTGTTTTATGTAACACCACTAGTTTTGGTTGCCATGGCCCGACAAGAAGAGGGTTTCTGTGGAAAAATCGCAGTTTTCCAGCGCACAATTACAATATTACGAATTCTTACGAAATAAGTGCGAGAAAACAAAAACATTCGTATATTACATATTACAACTACAATGGTTTTATGATTAATTAATGATTTTATTATTAAATAGACTTTATTTAATTAACATTAATGTTAAATACGATGTGTCAATCTTCAATAAAAAGGTACACACAAGTACAACTACATTAGAGTCGCGAAGACAGTACATATACATTGAGAATATTAAGTAGAATAGAGTAAAAATCAAATTGGTATTGGGATTATCAATTGTAAATTACAATTAAAAACATATTTTTGATCCATTCCTGTTCTGCAAGAATTTTTCTCGTGGTTCGTAGTTGTAGGACACATTTATTTCATTTCAAGGGTCATTACATAAAGACATACACGGGAACTGATAATTTCTTTACAAATTTAAGAGAATTCCGCTTGGTGTGAAGAGTGAATTTGAGAATTATAAAAATAAGTGGTCCAGAAGATCAAATTTACTTAGGAGCAAAATTAACAGCACTGAGAATGTGGTACCTATAAAATGCTAAGAAGTTCAAACAAAAAGCGTAAAACCGGGTTCTTCAATACCCAGGAAAAAGGAAACGATCAAACAAAATTGGAAGATCTTGTTACAAAATCCAATGTATATGGAATGAGACCCTTATGAATTACAATTACAAAAAGAAACATTAGTGATACAATGTTTGAAGAACTAGTGTTGTTGAAGGGAAATATGTCCAATTGAATTCAATTGTAAACCACAACCAAGTTTTGATAAATAAATTGTGAAACTGGATCACTATTTGTTGCATTTTGAATTTTCAAAAGTATTTTAAAATACTATTTTGTATCTAAAATGATTTTATGGAAATATTTTGTATTTGATATCTAAAGTACTTTCGATTTTGTATTTTATATATGAAATACCTTTTCCAAGTAGTTGGCCCTGCATGTCTATTTTTCATTATTCATAAGTCTATATTTCATATATTTTAGAGATCAGTGCTTTATGTCGTCTTGTCATCCTCGTAAAATTCTTTGCTTATTTGTTTCACATGCTGACGTTTGACATCTTTGATCGCATCATTGTGATGCGCTGGAAACAAAAGCTTTTGGGCTGTGAGTGCATACTCTTTGGCGAGTGTGAGCGACAGTTGCAGGCAGTGGAGCGCAATAGAGCGAGTGCAGTGAACAACCGGTTCTGAGCGATTGCATTGATTTGAAACTATTTAATTGAAAGTAGTGGAATTGTGCTCGTAAACTTCGAAAAGTGACATTGACGTGAAATTCTTCTCCCTGAAAGTGGTATATTTCTTTCAGATTGAGGATTTAAAATATTTTTTGTCTTTTTTTTGAGTATGAATTAGTAACGTTATACTTATTTTCAAGGTTTTGCGAGATAATCATGAGTCGAAAGGAAGCTTTATCGCAATTTATTCAGCAGATTCATGGGAGACCTGTAGTTGTCAAATTGAACAGTGGTGTGGATTACCGAGGTATGTTGTCAAGTACAATAATCAGCATGTCAACATTTCGGTTTTAAAGAAAAAAACAACTAACTTGCATTTTTCACAGGTGTTCTTGCATGCTTGGATGGCTATATGAATATTGCTTTGGAGCAGACAGAAGAATATGTAAATGGACAGTTGAAAAACAAATATGGAGATGCATTTATCAGAGGCAATAATGTCCTTTATATAAGTACTCAAAAAAGAAGAATTTAAATTTGGTTTTGTAAATATTAATTTGTCCAATTTGGTATTTTGTTTTATGAATGTGGTATGTTTAATTTCTTAAATTACTTTGTGAAATTCACATTAATTAAATAAAAACGTTTCATTTTTTCAATGTTTGAGTACTTGTTTCTACAGTAGGAGTGGATGTACTTATACTTCTAAAAACTCTTTTATCTAGGTAGTACTTTCCGAATACAAATTTTTAATAAAATTGAATTTGATGGACCTATACAAAAAAATGTTTGCAAAGAATTTAGAGTTAAGAAATAATTGAATTGTGAATTTCATAAACCCCATAAGTGCCAATGTGTAAATTTTTCGGGCAGTAAGAAAAACTGAATAGCTTCCAAAGTATTGTGTTGGCAGTTTACAAAAACATGTGTATTAAAACATGTGGTTTTCTGAATACCTTAAACTTTCAATAACAGTGAAATTTAGTTGTGTATATTTAATAAAAAGAAAAGATATTAGTTCACTTGTGGGGGTTTTGCAATAAACATATTTTTTTCTTTATATTTTGGTAAATAATACACAGAAACCATTGCTTGTAATTAGCTTTGGAGTAATTAAATTTAACTACTCAAGGGTATTAAAACTTAGGTTTATTTAAGAAAATAAAATGAAAAGTACAAGAAATGGTAGTTCTTAAATTGAGATGCTCTGTATTAGTCTGGCTGTATCTCAAGTGGTTTTTCTTGGTCTGTTGATGGCCTCTCAAACAGAAGCCATATCCACTCAGAACAATCATATATATCCTGTGGTGTATTATCTTAAATTTTTATATTTCCGTTTTCTTCATAATTTTTTTTTACTTAATCAGGATCTAAGAACATAATCCATTGCATCATTTTATCTGAGGTTATAAACTGCTCAACCATAAAGATATTTTTTCACATTTATTGTGAACACCATTGTTGTTTTAATAAAGTTTGCCTCTTAATGTGGTATTACTAGGATTGTTGGTAGGTCTTTGGGGGCTCATTTCCCTATCAGAATTACTCTTCTTTTCATCATTACACCAATGTGTTTTAGACCTCAGGTTGACAGTTTTGGCCCCAAAAAGAGCTGAATATCTGAAGTATTTTTACTTTCTTTAGAATAAAATCCTTTCCAAATTTGTTGTATGGTGTCATCATTTAAAATTAAATAGCATTTCGTTGAATGCTGACTTGTACAATCAGCAGAATTAGGACAAATTGTTTCTTCTACTTTCTTCCCTTTGTGCAATATATAATTTCCACCACTTACTCTTGTAGTTCGAAAGGAGTTAGGTTTGTAAAATTCCTTATTGGTCACTCCACGTTTTGTCTTCATTGTAATGGTTCATTTTCTGAGTGTTCCAAACCAGGTATTGTTACTTAAATACTGATGCACAACAGCAAATGATACTTTTTAAGAACATTATGCTCTCTGCTGAAGAACAAAATGTACTATGTTTATTGCAAAAAGCACAAAAGTGTTGGCACTTGTGTGCTTTCTGCACTAAACTTGGTGTACATCTTAAATTACTCTGCTTCTGAGAACTGCAAATGTGGGATATCTGCACTTATGATGTATTCAAGTCTCTGGAACACTAATGTACTATAAAGTCAATCTGAAAAGTGGCGCTCATGGGACTTTTGAAATAAACAATCCAATTGGAAAAAGCACTCTGATTAGTTTCTGAAGCATTCTATCTCTTATGAATGCTTTGTAAGGAAAGTAATATTCAAAATTGTCATTACACAGCACTTGAGTTAAGCACTTAAATATGGTTTATTATGTTGATATTTCAAGTTGAAGTTGAGATGAAAATAAACTTGAGAAATGTTTTCATGAATTTGAATTTTCATGAATATTTACTTCATTAAGAAGAAAAATCATTGTTGATTACAGAAATGAAATTATTGAAGATGCTATAAAAAGAATATGCCAGTATAGTTATTGAATAAATTGTATTTAGTGGTCAGCTGTAAATTAGATTATACTAAAGAAGGTGAGAGGTGGTTTGAGGCAGCATTAAATTGCATTACATATGGGTAGAGAGGTGATAGTTTCGTGTTACATAACTTTTATTCAATCTTATGCTAAAATGTTAAAAAAAATATGAATCTTTTAAAAAGAGTTTATGTATAAATTATTACTATAATTTGAAATTTTTTGTCATCAATACACATCAATTGAATATCCATTTAATGTATGATTAAATTCAATTAAATTGGTGCAGTAGACTCACTCACGCCTTATCCACAATGACATGTGTAAGGCTTGTCAAACATTTTTCTTGCCTAAGCATCCTTCCTTCATTCGGAAATTGTCTTCAATCTTATTTTTAGGTACAGTCAGCATCACCAACAAAGTGTGACTTTAATTATCTTATATTTTAATATATAACACAAAATTAATACAAATGTTTTTTACTGTAATGTAATTTGTTTTACATACTCCAAATTAAAGATGTTGTAAACTGTACATACTTATTTAGGGGGTTCAAGCATGCGGACATGGGGCAAGAGGAGATATTCTAAAGACTCCAAATATGTGTTACGTAATGAAAAAACAACCCTTAATTTTTAAAATAAATATGTGTATTTTGACCTTTCTTTCTTTGAATTCTATTGGATAAGTTACTGTTCAATGAATAAATCCCTTCAGTGTCAAAAAAATAATGCAGGGAGAAAGAGTTGCTCATAAATTACATAACATTAAAAAGGGTTGAGGCATCATAATGCTGAGTCACAGCAGTATGGAATGTTGATTAATAGTTCCATAATGCTGAAATTTATTTTTTGTAAATTTGCTGAAGTAATTCCTTTTATTCAGTCTTACATTAAAATATAAATAAATTAAAAAGTTTAATTGTTATAATAAATATTTGATTTATCAATTGTATGCTTTTTTCTGTTAGAATATGAAGAAAATATTCAAAACTGATTCATAGAATATTCTATAATTTAATTGAATTGGCCATTACCCACATCACAGGGGTGAAGGTGAGATAGGGAAATTGGCAACACACTGCCAGGCCACTTGGAGCCCTGCGTGCGACTTTTGTTTCTAACGTTTAACAATGTTAAATTAGCATTGAAGGTGGGCTTCTAACCTTTATTGTTCTGTGCTCCACACGTCATCCTAAACAGCATTGGCTCCTATTTTATTGTTAGGGGCTTTGGGGGCTCATTCGCTCCCTAATTCTAATTATCATTCCTTTTAAATATAACGCAAATAAAATTAATACGAATTCTTTTTACATGTTATACATACTACATTCATAAAGTTCCCGGAAGTAACCAGTGGTTATTTCATTGTAACTCCAAGGCAAAAAAAGACTTCTGTGTGGAGATAAATCCGAGCACAATACAATACAAAAGGAAAGAAAGTTAAGTTTGAAGCAGAGATGTAATGCTTTTTCTACTTATATAACTTTGTATGCTGTATCTACTCTGGAGAGTAATTTAACTAATGATTTCTTGCCACGTACTCCGATCAATTATGATTGTTACTTTGGCAATGACAAGGTTAAAACTACTGAAGCTTTAGAATTAGATATTCCTTTCGTTAATGTTGTATCCTTGATTGTTATTGAATTACACATTGAAGGTATAGAAATACATCCGATATGTTTCATGGTTTTATTTGAACTAAAATTAAACTGTACAAATTGCGTCAGATTGGAAAACAAACTCGCATCACCGTTATAATAGTGAAGGCTTAGCAGAGGCTTAGCTCCGAGAGATGGCACCACTGTGTACCAATGGATATGAAGAAATGATGCCAATGCGTGTCCACATGTTTTTATTATGACAGTTCTCCCATGCTTGCCATTTTGAAAATGTGTTAAACATTGAATTTTAAGTATGAAGTCGTTGAGGCGTCTTGGTAGTTGCCGGGGTCTTTTAGATCGACTTAGAGTCTGGTCCGGGCGATGGTCTCGTTCGATCCCTTGTTCTTCTTCTTCAATAATTTCTGGTGTGTCTATATCAACTGGGACTTGTTGATCTACGCGCAGTTCTTCATTACGCTGGTTCAATGAATTGTATACCAAATCTCCCAAGTCAACTTGATGTTTTTGGTTATCAAGGTTTGGCGCAAACCTTACTTTTTTCTTTGCCATTTCTGCTAAAGTTGGGTCTGGAGTTTCGGTTAATCGTAGTTAGTCTGTATGTCGTTTGAAGATGTAACCGTCATCTAATTTCACTAGATAGTGTAATTGTCCAAACTTTTTGATAATTACTCCGAACTTCCATTGGTTTTATTGGCAGTGTATTAGCGTGCTTGTACGCGTTTTCCCACACTTAATTGACGCGTCTTCTTCATTGATCTTTTAGTGTTCTGAAATTTTATGGGTTTCAGTGCATTTAGTTCAATGCCAATGTTGCGGTTCAGATACTATTCAGCAGGGGTTCTCTGGTTGTTTAAAAGAGTCGCTCTGTACCTGAAAAGAATTTCCCGAACTTTCTTTCGCATTGAAAGTGGTTCGTTGATCATTGTTGCTAATAGTTTTTTCAATGTTTGCACATTCCTTTCTGCTAATCCATTCGTTGCAAGGTGTTCTGGCGTGATGAACTTGCAAAAACTGCCTGATGTTTTGCACAAGTGTTGAAAATTTTCACTGGAGAATATTGTAGCATTATCTGCAATTATTACTACTGGAAATCCGTGTCTTGAAAACATTTCTTGGAGCAATTCGATGGTTGATGCTGCAGAAGGCGCTGAGGATCATCGTTCAATTTCTGCCCATTTCGATTTTGCATAAATGGCAACTAAAAAATGATGTCCTTGGTTGGTCCTGCATAATCGATGTGAATATGCTGCCAATTTTCTTCTGGCTCTTGCCATGGGTGTAGAGGAGTTTTAGCTGGACTGTTTTTCACTTTTGCACATTCAGAACATGCTCGAACGATATATTCGATATCCTTGTCTATGTTCTTCCAGTATACATACCGGCGTGCAAGTTGTTTAATTTTTGAAATTCCGATATGAGTTCGATGAAGCTCCTCCAAAACAGCAGCTTGGAGTTTTGATGGTACCACGACGCGTTGACCTCTAAAAAGTATGCCGTTGTCCATGGTAAATTTTACATCAGTTGTTTCGTCTTCTTGGAATTCTCGGAGGATGAATTGTTGTGGAATTGCTAAAGGTATAGAAAAAACTGCACCATCAGATTCGTTTCATGGTTTTATTTGAACTAAAATTAAACTGTACAAATTGCGTCTGGTAGGAAAACAAACTAGCATCACCGTTATAATAGTCAAGGCTCAGTTCCTAGAGTTACCACAGTTACCATTCCGTTACAAGCAATAGCGGTCGCTAATGACCTAGTAGTTGATGCGACCTTAAAAAAAAAAATCATCCTGTACTGGAAGCATTTGTAATTGCCTGCAATCACCGCTAGTAGCACAACACTTGAAGCGTACATCTCCAATAATTTATGTTATTAATATGTGGATATACAGAAAATACATTAACAGCAGGAACTAAAAATTACCATATCTTTTAAAAAATCAATAATTTTTAATTGTTTGCTTCGCATATTTTTCTTAACCTGCATGGTCCTCTGTATCGAAGAATAGTAATTGGCCTCATGCACTGTTGGAAGCCCCACTCTTCGAAGACCTGTCGCCAAATAATATACGAGATATTTTCGGTAGCGGCAAAGGGTAAACGGTTATTGAAACTTACACGCGCAGCACGGGCGTATCGTGAGGCTGTGGGGATGTGGCAGTCGCAGGCTTTTTGTCACCTACGTGGAATACAACGCGCTTTTACCCGCGGAATTACACGTAGCATAAAGGTTGAAACTGAGAAGAAAAGTGACAGATCCTTCATGTGGAAACACCCCTCGAAATTTTTGACACATGCAATGTTCAATCAGAATCCCATATCCAAAATATTTGCTGCCAGTTTTCACTGCAAGCCCTCCGAATAAAACATTGAAAAACATTATTACATAACTAGGAGATACTAACAAATTATTATATAACTACAAAAAGGATCGGGGCGTCTACCAGTCCCTTTGGACAGCGAGCGAGCTGACGCAAGGGACTCGAAGGTCACGGTGGAGGCGCCCGGCTCCGTCAGCGGCCTGCAATAAACAAGGGCCGCGTAGGTTCGCGCCCAGTTCATCTTTCCACGCGACGGAAGAAGGTCCGCAATGGATAGAGAGCAAGTTGTTTTAAATCCCGTTAACATAGTCGTGTTCGTCTTGAGTTACTTTCGTGACAAAGGTTTATCTCAAACGGGAAGTGTAATTGAAAAAGAACGAGAAATGGGTCAATGCGTCATTGACTTGTTCGAAAATAATTGCACAGGAGTGGAGCGTTATGAGGAATCAACCCACGATGTATGTTCACGCACGCTTGTGGCTTACAACCGCCCACGCCCCCCCCTCCCCTCTCTGCCCGGCCACCGGGACGCACCACCCGTTCTTCCCGGCGTCCGGCCTTTCTCTTTGAGAATACCTTTGTGATCCGCTGATCTGTCGCTTTGACACCCAAGGCGCAGCGCGGCGTCCTTCAAAACGCTTGTTTGGCAGGTACGGTTTACGACAGCTCATTTGCGCCTTCCACGAAGTGCAGCCACCCCCCGCCAACGGCTCGGCTGTAAGTGCACCGCGCGGCCCCGCTCGTTGTCTCCGAGGTTTCGGCAACTCTTTCCCGCAGTGGCCCAGAGTACCCCCCCCCTCCAGTTTAGACTAGCCCCCTCCGTCACGACTCGCGGTAGCCACCCCCACGCAGGGAGGAGCTGGTTCTACATATTTGTGTGCACCACCGCGCCCCAGCAGACATGTGACAAGAGCAGACATGACATACATGACACGACACGAGATGTGATAGAGTAGAATGGACAGTTGAGCGCATCATCCTGACCACATCGCCGTTAGTCAGGGCTAAGGCTGCCCATCTCGGCATTCACTTAGGATTAAGACTGCCCACATCACATCAAATTAGACCACGACAGCACGCATTGCCTAGTCATCGTGTCCGGGGACTTGGAGCATTCGCTCAGAGGCGCACTGTACGTGTTCATCGACCTCCGCGCAGCGAGTGCTTAGCCCCGGCAACAATCGGGACAGGCTCAGCGCCTTCAAATAGCAGGTACCTGTTTCTGCCTCCAAGGTGCCGAGCCAAGCAGTTCAAGTTCATTCTAAGCAATAGAATATTATTAATTGAATTGATCTGTTCTCATCATCATTAGGTCATTGGATTATGGAACATTTGGTCATTTTAGTTATGCCAATCAATTTTATAAACGGTAATTTGTAAATTACCAATTATGTTTTAGATTTAATTTGTTTTATCAGTAATTCACCGCTGGTGCCCGGCATTCATTTTTGTATATAGTTGATTTATAATTGTTTTGTTTTCATTTTCTTTCTTCGATTGTAAGTTTTATTTTATTAATTCCGAGAGATATTACATGTTATTATTCCAAGAAGCATTATCAATCGCTTTTACCATTCCTTCGTTTCTTACGAGGTGGACCTCCAGCCCTTTATTTTAGTAGCCCTCTGGCCACATCATAGAGCTACCGGAGGCCGATGTGTGTGTGTGCGCGCGGATATAGCCAATAGTAAGGTCCACGCCTTGTGAGAGGTGGGTACCAGGTGAGCGTCACGGACGCGCGGGGCGCATGCAATGTATGTGTTCCGCCCACTTCACGAAGCCCTCGCTCCCTCCCTCCGGAGGCGGCCGCTCCCGCAGGGTGCCACCCCTACCGCCGGCCGTTCCCTCCGCCCCGTTGCAATGGCACGTTCGCTTGTGCCAGGGCAGACTAGCGAGACCCACAGGCCACACCGCCTGCCCAGGGCCTTTTCGCTGAGCAGTCTCCGCGCTCACGAGCAACTTTCATGTTTTGTGCTTCGCGCACGATAAACTGCTGCCCTCGGCACGTGAATAAAGTACTTGTGAACCTGCCATCGGCGGGTACTACAATGCGGTACGTCAGTACCTGCTGGCGAGAGACCGAGTGTGCCGCACGCACACTCCTGCTGTCAGGGCCCACCTAGGGCCAGGTCCTTGGTCAAGCTGCGGGACAGACTCTCTGTAACCAGCGAACTGTGTGGGGCGCCTGCATTCCCGCTTCGCCCGGGAGAGGAACAGCTCTGAGGACCACGCATGCCGCAGTCACCCAACATCAGGTATTCGGCAAAGCCGTGTGCCCATGGACGTGTAGTGCGACCAACCTTCACGACGTCGCCTTCACGGTGATAAGTAACATAGAAGTAACGAACAACCATTTAATTTCTGTACAATTAACATTTCATTTGTCATATCATCCCATCCACGAAGAATAGAAATCTAATATTAATAAATAGTATGCGCAATGAAATTCTCGTAATTTTGTCCTCCCCCCCCTCCCCCCCTAACCAGCGCCATCCCCCCCCCCCCCCCCGAGTACCTCACGGCTCGGTGCGGTGTACAGAATACTTTGTATAGAGAAGGGCCTTTCAGACTGCTAATGCACCCCTTCCCCCATTCTAGATATTCTTCCCCCTTCTTTGTACAGTATGTGAAGGAAGTGTTAGTGAATCATGTAATAGTGACAGTGATTACAGACTGCAATAAGCATACTTCTACCACGGATGGTGATATGTGCAAGTGTTTGTTAGAATCAGACAGCGAATCCATGAAAACTAGTGATTCTAAATGTCAGTCACCCTGCTAATCCTCCGGTTCAGTTTATTATCCCAAGCCCTGTGAAAAATGTAAATGAAGATGTTAGCATTAGCTACAAGAAGAAAGCTGTGGAATTCTGGTTGAATGAGGGCGGTAAGAAAAAATATTCAATATCACATGTTCGTAGAAATTTTTGCAGTGTGAAGTGAGAACGACAAATATTATTATGGAAGATGCAAAACATGACAGCAAATCCAGAGAACACACAAAAAACAAAATGTATGAGAAACTTTGGTCTCGATTTGAACTTGCAATAAGGAAGGACAAATCAAAATGTGAATGATGAAGATCTGCGACGGTGGACCGTGGACATTTCACAAGGAACTGGCGACGGAAATGGACCTCTCACACCTGGATCAATCGTTTAATAAAAAGCACATGCAATTAAGAGCAGGAAGAGAACAAAATTTGTATCACGCACTCATGTACACCTAGAAGCATGCAAACGGAAGTGCTTGCAGAGGAATTTCTAGAAAATGCCAAAGAGAGATTTTTCGTATTACTCACAGTCTGTGTACAATACAGACCAAAGTGGACTTAAACACGAAATGCGATCAATATGGACTTTGTCGTTTGTTGGTGAAAAACACATCCAGACAGTTGCTCAATCAGTTAGTGCTTTATCACACTGGTACACTATAATGCCAACAATAAATATGAATGGATCTTTATAGCCTCTATATCTTATAGCTCTATAAATCATTTGATTTTTAGAGCTGCAGGAACCAAAAGGATTTTTCGATCCAGTACTCTCCAAAAGAATGTTTCGAGCTGAAAACCTAATTGTTACTGCCACAAAATCAGGAAAAATGGGAAAGAAAGAGTTGAAATAGTGATTTAAAGAAGAGTTCTTCTCATTTGCAAGTGAAAATTTTTCTCTGCTTTTAGATTCATGGACCACGTACAATGACAAAACTTGTATTGAAGATATTCCTCCAGGCAAGACAATTGAATTGCTCCAGATACCTCCGGGAACTAAAGGAAAAATTCAACCTCTTGATAAGTTCTTCCGACAGTGGAAAGATATGTATCGCCGCTTATAAGAAAAAAAATGTTTCACAAGAGTATAAACGCCAAAGATTCCGATAGAGACACACTTCTTCATTTGCAATCATTCATAGATTTTCAATTTTCTTCTCATTTCCGGAATATAATAAAGTATTTTTGGTTTGCAACAAGGTTCATAACGGAGCGGCCTCCTTGAATTTGTAGTGCTCGTCAAATGTTGTCTTGAAACTACGAAAAATCAATGTGAAGGAGAATGTGAAAATGAAGTTTTAATTCGTTGTGCATGATGACAAAAACATGTATGTTTCATTCAGTGGAAAACAGTCATTTTTTACTGTTCATTTCGAGGGATATTTCGACATGGATCTGTTACTTCCTGAGTGTCATCTGTAAGGTCCCCATTCCAGGTCCGCTACGTTCACCTCTGGAGAGACTTCTTCGAACTCCAAAATTTTGAAACACATTCTTTCAAATTTGGGGGTACTTTGAAAAAGACCCCCTGACATTTTCAAAATTTCCCAGAAACGACTCCATTTTTTTCATTAAACTTCTTAAAAAGAGAGTAAAATAGATAAAATACACAAGATTTTCTCAAAAACAGCTTCAATTTTCTCTTTACACTTTTAATAGGGATAGCGATAAACGCTCTCTATAAAATGACAAACGTCATATTATTCTATTGTTTTGTTTTGTTTTTAAATTACAAAAATTAATTTTTTGACTTGACTCTCACTTTATTGATATTTATATTAGCGGCAATTTCGCATTATTATCTTTACGAGTACTTGTACTATAAATAATGTCATTTACAGTTTCTCGAAAACGCAACGATTTTCTGTGAAAACTAGCTAAAAATATCATTTTCAGACACGCTAATACGCCATTTTCTGAAAAACGGCTCAATTTTTTTCAAACTTTTCAAAAATATAGCGCTAATTGCCCTGTTTAATATGACATATAATTCATTTTTGGGAGTTTTTTTTTTTTTAATATCTCTCACGAATTTGGTATGCACATTTCCAGCAAAGTATAACCACTATTACATTTGTGAGTGGCTAGTCTTTAAATTAAGTTTTTCGAAATCTCAGAATTTTCTGTGAAAGCTGCAAATTTCGCTTTTTTCTTAAAAACCGCACCAAGTTTTTCAATGAAATTTGGCGTTTAGGACGAAGTTTTACTCTTATTTAATATTCTTCAAGTAATATAATAGAAAAAGAATACGAGAAGTACTTGCAATACTGTAGCACCACTAGTTTTTTTTCTAAATTTAGCAACTGGACTTATCCTTTTTTCTTTACCAGGGTCCTGCAATTTCGGCAGTTTTCCTGCCGAAAAGTCGCCGCTTTTTCCCGCAGTATTTTACATAATACAGTATTTTACTCTCTTTTGCGTAAGCGGTAGCGAGAAAATAAAACATTATTAAAACTTCCACCGACATATTTGAACCTTGTTGATTTAAAACAAGGGGACTAAATGGTCCAAATGGACGCATCAAAGAAGAGAGCGCTCTTGATTTGAACGGCACCCTCTTGTAACGTTTCGTAATGAGCCGGTAGCTTGCCGGCAGGTATTTTACTAGATAGATCCCGGCAGATAGTTTAGGTTTTATTCTAATATTTGTCATGAAGTATTGCAGGACATTCTGCACCGTGTATACACCCATGTTCCAATATTTCGTAACAAATATTAGAATAAAATACAAGCAAACAATATCAGCACGTTGATTTGATTGATACTAACTTGATTTAATATTTATGAACAAAGTACGTCCTTGTGCACTTTGTATTTTGGATGTTTCATTACTGTTTTGTTGGCATTGTTGACTACCTGACTGCTTTTGTTTTTCAGGGAGCGGTAGGCAGAGAGTATATAACGGCCAGGGCCCTATAACTCCCATATAACGTGGTGGAGACCATTACGGGGGCGCGCTCTGCTGCATCACCTTCTTTACATGAACTAAAACACGAACTGCTGCCAACGATACTTTAAACGTGCGTGGCTACTGCGTGAATTCGCGGGTCGCAAGCAGGCCCATAATGTTACAAAAGATAACGTCTATATTCGCGTATTCTTTGGTGGTTTCTTATAAGTATAGATTATGAATAATTGTACATTTATAAGACACTTTTCGTATTTTCCACAAATTAGCCAATTTGTCTGTGGGAAACTTGGCGATCCTAACCTGCAGCTGCACCCGGCGACACTAGCGCTTTCTATAGTAGCAACCTCTAGCTTTGTCCCCGGTTTTGATGGAGAGTTGCCGGGCCCTGATGATGGCGGTGGGGATGTTGTACCGATAGCGATGTGGCGTGTTGTTTCTAATTGAATGTGATGTTGTGGAATTATATTAATCTGAATCTGGAATGAAATATTTTATTCAGTCGCTCTGGGAGAAGAGTGAATCGAACATGTGTAGTAAAGAAACTATATTTATAAATTTTAAATAAGGAAGTACAGGTTAAGTGAGACCCATGGATAGCTTGGTGTTTATGGAATACGCCCTAGCAGGCCTAATAAGGTTCTGGCTGCTATGTTCAGATTATAGACAAACAGTTGCAGATCGTGTGGAAGTTTCAACTCCTTTGAACTCTTGGAAGAGAGGTGTATTATTTTAGCCATGAAATAAATGTTTCTGAATTGAGACACTAAATTTATTGTAATATTGTTTTTTTTTTTAATTTCAGTGACAGAAGGTGCGTTTTTGTATAATGAAGGAATCAATCCCTATGATGGAGATTTGTTTCATGAAACACCTCTTGGACTTTTTGTATTTAAATATATGATACAATGCTTGTCGCAATGGTTAGGTGTCATATTTATTATTTGTGATTTACTTACTGCACATTTGTTGTACAGAACAGCTTGCATTTATATGAAAGAATTGGTAAGCAGCTAAATTCAAATATTGTCTATAACATCACTTGCCTTGTAGTGCCATATCAGTTGTGTTTATTATATGTTCACAGATTGAAAAACAAACTTTAGAGAAATCGAGTTATGCCAAAGACACACAAGGGCTTCTTTTGAGAAATGAAGATCTCAATTTGTCTCCTATATATGTTGCATCTGCATATCTTTTTAATCCTTATATAATATTAAATTGTGTAGGTCAAACTACAACTGTTTTTACAAATCTCTGTTTGGCTGCTACATATCTAATGATGGTAAAAGGTGTGCTTTATTTTAACATTTCATATAAAATTGTTAATATTTTTTTATTATTTTTGAAAGTTTTAGAAATAGTGCAACTCAAGTAGTTGAAATTATTATATTACTTATGGTTTTGAATTTTTTAGTATTGATAAATCATGTAATCTTAGATGCATGAACTTTCATTCTTCTTGAATTGTTTCATTTTCATCTGTAACTTGCATTGGTTTCTCCATCAGCTGTTTGATGCTCTTGCAAAAAGGGCACTTTTTTCAGAGAGTTAACCTACTTTATTCTAGATTACATTGACAAAATATGGATTTGTGGTGTTTTTATACGTAAGAAAGCTAAAATCATATTATGAAACAAATGGTGAGCTTATCTCGTTTTTGGAAATATTTCCGATTTGGCCACCTTGATATAATTTATCCAATTGTCAACATTCACTTTTTCCCTTTACAAATTGTTGGTACTAAAGAATGAATGTTCCAAAAATACAATTGTTAAAATGAGTTTGAATTTTGCAGGTCAGCAGCTGCCATGTTGTTTTGCATTGGCAATGGCTACACTTCAAGCCCTGTATCCAGCCATGCTCGTTGTTCCAGCATCATTATATATAGCTAAAAAAAACACATGTGGAATGAGTGATAGATGTTCCCAAATATATTCTCCATGGGCAACCTGTGGTCTTTTTGCATGTGTATTATTTTTTCTGTTGTATTTTTCATCACAATTATCTGGAAGTTGGACATTCCTGCATTCCACATATGGGTTCATGTAAGAGCAAAGGCTTTTTTTTTTTCTTTTCTTTTTTTTTTCTTCTCCCTCTCTTGCAGTGCAGTCTCTAAAACACATTTCTTTATAGAATATAAATGTAAAGATTTGTCTTCATACATGTCATATAATCAATAACAAGTATCGTTATAATTGATAAATATATTTATTTGTTTCTGGAAAATTTGAATGATTCAGAAATTGATCAGAATTCCATATAGCTTCTTTAGAAATGATACAATGATCATTTTAATCTTCTTCACTTAGAGTGCACATATTCCATGATATCATTGCCATTAAATAATCATCTTAAATAAGATACATAGCAGCCCAAAAAGTATTTTTGTAAATCTTAGATAAACTGAAAAATGAACGTACATCTAAGCTATAACTTTACATAAGAAAATTATAGAGATCATTTGTCTAATTAATATCATTTGTAAACTTGGTTACCTGTCAAAGAAAGCAGTAAAATTGTGAGTTAATGAAGATTAAAAATTAGGGGTATCATCAACTGTTAAACATCTTATATAATATGTTATTATATTGAAGCTTCAAGACCAATTCCATCCTCTCAAACTTGTCTGGTAATATTATATTTCACTGACAAGAAAATAAATGAGAAAAATAGAAAATCTCAAAAGCTTGTACTAAATATCTGCTAGCACTTTCTTTCTACCAAAATGTAGTAAGAAAGTTAAAAGCTGGCATTGGATTAAGGAGAGATCAAAATTTGTATTTTTAAAACTATTGGTAGGTCCATTGAAAGAATGTGTGGTAACAATGTTTTGCAATCACCATTGCATATGCCTTTATGAAACAGTTTTGTTTTTTAAAAACTTTTAGATAAATAAAAATCTCTAAAAAAAAGGGGAATTGATTATCATTTTTTAAACTGTGTAGTATTCTCTCAATTATTTGTATTTTTAGAATTTGCAACATAAATATAACCCTTTTCATGAATAATTGTATGTTTTATGATGTCGTTTTTCTCTGTTAAGATGTGTGTAAATAGTGAATTTATCCATAAAATGCTCTTATTTTCCAAATACTTATCTTATAAACTTGTTTCTGTTATTCTATTCTGTAAATTCAATAAACTACCAAATTTCAGGCAATTAAATATTTACTTTTGGGGTAAAATTATTTCAAATTTAGAGTACGAAAATTCCATCTTGTGTTAAAAAAATGAAATATTGAAGGGCAAGGGATGTATTGCATAAAGGGTATGAACAGGAGCTAGAGCAATGTTAAATATTTGTCCTCTAAAGAATCTCAGTGAGGTTTTTAAATTGGAAAATTTTGAAGCTACTGTTCTGATTTTATTCCGTTTTTTTCCCTTGGATGTACGTTGACTCACACGTCAGCTGCCAGAGACAGAATGTGAATGAAGTTAACCATTTTATTACTCGTTTATTCTTGGTAACTCTTCCTTATTAAAAAAATTATGTCCATACTTGGTAACATTCTATACTTGAATTTTCATTTAAATGCATAGTCTTAACACGTGTCTTATACAAATTTTATTTGTATTATGTACAAGCAAAAGTAATGCTTTGAAAAATGTGCTGATGCATTGAAATATTCTTGTGATATTACCACTCTCTTTATTACTTTCTTTTAAAAAATTACTTCATTGAAATTTTTTTCTTTTTTCAGTTTGAATGTTCCTGATCTCCGGCCAAATATTGGACTTTTCTGGTACTTTTTCACTGAAATGTTTGAGCATTTTCGACCTTTATTTATATGCGCATTCCAAATAAATGCAGCATTCCTATATTTAGTACCACTTACTTTACGTTTACATGAAGAACCCATGTTGCTTGCAACAAGCCTTACAGCTCTTACTGCTATTTTTAAATCTTATCCTTGCCTTGGTGATGTTGGTTTTTATCTTGCACTCTTGCCAATGTGGAAGCATCTTTTTAATTGTGAGTTGTAATCGTCTATTAATTCTTGTAATTTTTAAAATTAATTCATCGAAAAATATGTTATTAACAACATAACCTATTTTCAGACATTGCTTTCTCTTTTTAAATTATGTAATAGATAATTTTCAAATCGTAAATTTTACAGTAAGATTTATTTTTTCCAGACATGCAACAGGGCTTTGTTGTGAGCTGTTTCTTTATCATTACTTCTGTGCTGGGGCCAATAGTTTGGCATCTTTGGATATATTCCCGGTCTGCCAATGCTAACTTCTATTTTGGTGTTACATTGGCTTTTGCTACAGCTCAGGTGAACGTTTTTCAGTACTTGATGAATATTGTTCTTGTATTATTGAATGTTTCATTATATTTATTTACTTTCTTTCCCTTGAGTATTATAGGAAAATTTTTACACATTTTTATAACAATATGAAACTAGAAAATTTTGGTATTATCCAAAATTAGTTTTGGAAACTATACATATAAAAACACACAAGTCCCTAAACACACAAAAAGAGTTAAACAATTCTACAAAGTTGCTGTAAAATCTGTCTCAACCAGAACGTGTACAAGCCAGAAACCTGCCTTAACCAGAAACTGTTTCGGGAGTTGCACTTAACCATGCTTTGGCCACATGATGCATGGCATCAAGAATTGATATGGTCATCAACTTTGAATCCAAACTATTATCATTCATAAAAAAAACTTTTTCAACCAGCATTTTTTCTGTACTTTCATGTAAAAGTATGAATTATGCCCAAATCCAGTGGTTGAAGAACGCTAGTACAATTCGGGGGTAAGAATACTAATTTTATATTTCTGAGCTGCAGATCTGTAGGGTGGGCAGGACATCTATCTAGCAGTAATAACACTTTCCGATTTCTTGCTCCCATTTTTGCATCCAGAACATGCATGGTGGAGAAGAAGATATTGCTGGTCTTCCATGCACTACTGTTTGCCTCATATTTGGTTGGTAAATTTTTGATGTGTTTAAAACACCTTGGTTTTTTAAATTTTCTATTACTAATGGTGGTAATTTTTCGAAGCCATCAGCATTCACCATTAACAAAACAGTTACTGTCTGTTTGTTGAGCTTCCCACCATGGCACTTGTCACCTTTGAAACACAATGTCTTACTTGGCAGAATGTTATAAAATAGTCCTGTTTCATCAACATTGAAAATGTTTTTTCTTTTGTAGTCCTGGATAATTGAGGCAAGTTCAGGTTTCCATTCAGTAATGGTATCCCCAACAACACTTCGACTTTCCCCACACACCTAGTTATAAACAATATTATGGGGAGTCTTGAAGCGATCAATCCATCCATTTGATGCTGTGAATTCTGCAATCCCTAACTTTGCTGCAAACTGGAGGGCTTTCGCTCGCAAAAGGTTGCCATCAAGCGGAATACCCGATGCCCTCGTGGCAGTAAACCACTCCGCCACAAGTTTGTCCAACACCTCGTAAGATGATAATCTTACGTATTTTCTTTTGTTGACATAGCACCACACTGTTTGGCGTTAAATTCAATTGTGTTTCTGTTTTTAATTATAGTGCTCAATGTGGAAACCAAGAGTTAAAGCTCCTTGGCTAACTGATCACGTGTTCCCATATGCGCATCAACACGACGCAAAATCTCTATCTTGTCTTTCAATGAAATGCATTTCTTGTCTTTCTTCTCCATATTATAGTTTCTACTATCTTCAACAATAACGTATCTTCAACGATCACCTCTCACACAAACGCACCAAACAGCATGCTGACTGCGAGACGAGACTATGTCTACAAAACTTGCAATATACCCGGAAATAGGAACAGCTAATGCCATTTGAAAACACAGGTTACGTATGACGACTTCTGCCAAAATCAACTCAAAAATCAGTTTTGCCTAAAAAAATTGGATAAAAAAAATATATGAAAAAAATTTGTAAAAGACAGGAAGCACTTGATATTAAAGTTGTAAATTGTGGGAGGAGAATGTATTGTAAATATAGGCTTTTTGATGGGACCAACGAAAAATTACGTAAAAGGCAGAAAAATGTAAAATGTGGGATCGTAAAAACGGGTTTTTACGGTACTTTCATTTGACAAAAGTCGATAAGAGAGCCTAAATTTGCTTAAAATACAAGGGTTTTTTCAAAATGTTATCTTTGTTATTGTTCATCTGCATTACCTGAATTTTTGTTTAAAGTGATACGTTTTTGACTGAATTTCATGTTCCTGTCTACAAAACTATTAACGTTACGTTGAGTTAACGATATGTACCGAAATTAAGTTTGTACGTGTTGTTAAAATTGACAAATTTTCAGACAAAAAAGGTGACCTCATCTATTGGGTGCTTAAAGTATTAAAACTAGGTTCATATTGAAATTAAAGTAGAGGTTCAACCCTTTAAATCAACAAAAAATAGCCTTCAAAAAGTTATGCATTTTTTTCTCCGTTAGTGTATATTGTTTAGGAAAAGAGCCGAAAAGTGTTGTTATAAGTTCTGTTAACTTTTAGTTCTTAGCTATTATCTGACTTTATTTAGTTATAGTATTATATACAATAAATGTGGGCTTTTTGCACATATTTCTTCCACAACAAATTTTTTTTCATCAGCAGAATAATTTCGGAATCATATTTGAACATTTTCAAAAGTGTGTTTTTCTAACTTTACGTAAAGTAAGCAAAACATGCTATAACGGTATAACAATTTTTTTCTGTCATAACATATTAACAATAGTCACACAACATATTTTGCAATAGTTTTTATGTTAATAACAACAAAGTGTTTAACTAACTTAACGCATGTTGGTCTCTATCTTGAGAGAACACAAATTAACTACTAAAACATACTTTGTGATATAGCAGTGTACTTCAATTTCTATTTATACCAGGATAGTAAATCTAAATAGTCAAATAAGATACTAATTTGAACCGATTATTCTTATCATATATTTAAAGTTTTTCAACAAACGTATAAGGTCTGCTTTCATATCGCGTGATTAATGTTCTTTGACAAGACAATAAGATTTGATATATTAAGCAATTTTGCTGTCAGTAATTAATTTGCAGTCAATTTCTGTTTACTCGGAATATTCTGTTTACTGATATCTACACAGCATATTATATTTACTTGGAAATTTTTGTTTACTGAAATCTACACAGCCAAATAGATTCTACTTCGTTTTGCTAGGGGATTTAATTGTTAAATTAAATTTTCTTATCATGTATATAATGTTCTTTGACAAGATAATAAGATTTGATATATTGAATTATTTTGCTGTCGGTAATTAAATCGCAGGTAATTACTGTTTACTCCGGGTCATGAAATCTACACAACCAAATACATTCTACTTTGTTTTGCTAGGGTAATTAATTGTTAAATGGTATTTTCTCATCATGTATATAATGTTCTTTGACAAGCTAATAAAATTTGATGTATTAAACGTTTTTGCTGTCATGAATTAAATCGCTTTTGCTGTTAGTAATTAAATGTCACTCAATTTCATTTGTGAAATGTGTTTCAAAAGCATTACTAATTTATTACTGAAAACTGCAACCATCACTGAAAAAAAAATCTGAGGCCTAGAAATGGTACTATAGTTACAGTAACTATGCTGAAAAGCTAAAAATAGGCTCAGCAGCTATAAACATAGATGTGCTATCAACATTTTCGTAGTTGGGCCGCATTTTAACTACGGTCTGTAGTTACTGGGCTCCACATTTTTTCTCTGTGTAGACAAATTTATGGAAAACGTACCAACCGAACACCACTTTCGATGCATACACTGACGAAAAAGGGCCGCAGTCTTATCAAAATCAGTAGTGAGCGACTGATATTCGCATAATCTTTGATATTGCGAAAGTCGTAGAGGATTTCACTAACAAAAATTGTTTCAGATTTCTATTCATGGAGGCTTTTTAATAAATACCTTCATGATCTGTTATTTTGAATTTATGTTATTTATGATTTGAGCTTGAGTCTATTCAACAGTCAATTAGGCTTATCTAAGAAGAATCAATTATTCTGCATTTGTTATAATAGGGCACTCTTAAAACAGAAATTGTAAATATTTTAGTGCCCTGTTGATGAAGTTGTAAAAGCACTATTTTATTGAGTTAATTTATTGGTAATTAATTAGTGATTAAATGGCAACAAATTTTGTGGTAGTTTTAGTTATTTAAGTAAAAACCAAAATAGTTTGCTACCTTTATATCAAGTTAGAAAAACACTGTGTTTCTTTTTTAATAAAGTGCAATTGAATAAATTTCTTGGTAATTAATTATCAATTAAATAGCCAAAAAAGTTTTAGTAGTTTTAGTTAGTAGTTTTTTGTTTAAGAAAGTAGAATCCATGAATGTTTTGCTACCTGATATCAAGCTGAAAAAACACTTTTTATAAAATAAAAGGCAATAAAAATAATTTTATGGTTATTAATTAGCAATTAAATAGCCAAAAAATGTCCACTAGGTTTCACTCGGTTTTACTGTTAATGGCTTTGTAGTTTTATATACCTGATTCTGGCATAGACAGATTTTACCATGACCTTTACCATGATTATACAAAATATGATTTACTGGGTTTTTATTCCAGTGTGTTTGTGATTCCTATCGTATACAAATTTTTTTAAGGTGAGCTATTGATAATTTTTTTATGCTGCATAATTGTAACTTTTTGGTAAGCAAGTATTTAATGCATTTTATTGTTAATTGTATTGTTTTTTAAAATCATTTTCACAGCTAATAGTGGGAATAAAATGAAATTTCTGAAATTTTGCTTTTAATATAGTGATATCCCATAAAATTTTATACCGGTTCAAGAAATATTAATGAGTGTTTTTATATTAGGAGATTAATTATGTGTATGTCCTAAATAATAAAGGTATGGTCTCTATGGCATATGTTACATTCAAAGGATGAGCAAACAATCAAACATCAACAATAATGTTTTGTTTCATTATCTTGGGGAACCCTAAAGCAAAAATTGTGAATGGTCGTGAATGGTCGTCTTGTTAACGTTTGGTGACAAGTATTTTTCTTGTGCTCCAGATCTTCCTTGTGACTGACATCCTTTTTGCATACATCAAACGAGAGTTCTCATTGCATTTTGGATTGCAAAGAGAGGTGAATGGAAAAGCAGCTAAATTAGTGTTAGAATGAAGAAAGTCAATGCTTTTGTACAGTCCAGTGTAGAATTCATGTGTGTACTGCAGAAGTGTTCATGAATTTGTCTGTTACCACAAGTATTGTAGACTGCCAATTTGGAAAAAATAGAATATAATCTTAGTATCTCTGATTATTTTCTTTCTGTAATTCCCCAACTTTCTTCGTTTTTCTTACTTCATGTAATTATTAAATGTTTCGTTACTGACTTTACATATGGTAATCATTTTAGCTTTTTCATTTCTACTTCAAAGTTTTCTCAGAATATCAAAATAAGTTTCAAAAAGCATTAATTATACTGTATTACTGAGATTATGAAACATAAGAGTATTAATTTATTATTTATATTATTTTCTAACTAGACACTTTTGCTTATTGCAAGTTGTAAAAAGGAGTATCTGCATGTTATATTTATTATGTAAGTTATGAATGCTTATAGTAGCTAACTTATGTAGTTTTAAATTTTTGAAAATTCATGTTTTAATGAAAATTACACTACTGCCATTGTATTAATATTAATATTAACAATAATAATGATAATAAATGTATGAAATAATGATGATAATAATAAATAAATATAATATAATATAATAATAATATATATAATAAATAATAATAAAAATAATTATTTCCAAAAATAACTGACAGTGTACAAAAACCATTACCAAAAAAAAAACAAAAAAAGAATCAATTTGTTTGACTACTTACATACATTATACAGTCCTGTTAACCTTCGGTAATAAACTGGCTTATCAGTTTTAAATTAATGTTAAATATTTAAATATTAATCTATTTATTACATTTATTTTATATTATTCAGTACACTTTAAACCACTTCTAAGTACTTTATGTACTGTCATAGAGGGTGTGTTACATTATACGCTTGTTTTGTCTTTTTTCTTTTTTGTCTTTTTGTATACCGTTTTTGAGTTATAGTTCACTCATCAGTCAGTACTGTTGAACAAAAGTTTTATTGGGAATTCTGATTATTCTAAGATACTTCAGCAGGCAGAAGAAATAAAATCACCAATATCTAGAATAACAAATAAATTGTAAATAAATAAAAAGATATGTTAGTTGGCTAACTGGTTAATATGAAGACCAAGTTTATCTTAATAACCATTTGAAATTTGCAGTGACAATTCAAAAGCAAAGCGAAATCTAAGATTTTATCTAAAAGCAAATCAGAAACAAATAGAACTTCTGTGCAAATGCACGACATTACTTGAGTTAAATTCATATAAATCAATGAAAATTGATAAGTTGGACTCAAAAACAAAAATATCCCACCATTACGAAACTGAATGAGAGTAACAGGAGCATTATACAGTTTACAAATATTAAATCTTGTGTTAACCGCTGTTTATACTATGAAGATTTATAGTAATTAACAACATATACTAATTCACACATGAGATCTTATAAGACAAAAACTCAACAGGAAAAACAAAAACAATAATGACCACTTATTCTCTTAACCTAACAAATGAAAATAAATTAAAATAATGCATTGGCAACAGGCAAAATGATAGTTAAGATGTACTTAATTAGCATGTTGAATCTTCTACAGTGACAAATCATAGCAAGATAATAGACAACGACAAACAAGTGTGGCAAACAGAGATCTAATACAATGACATAATTATCTGTTGACAAATTACAAAATATGTATATAAAAAAAACAACAAACAAATAATGAAACTACTCAGAGTAAAAGATCATTATTTAAATTATATCTTGTGATAACCGAGTAACAGAAATTTTTGTACATAAACATAAAATCTTGCATTGACGAAATTAACACGCAATAGAAATCACAATCATCCAATATTATCTAAACTCAAATTTAATTTAAATCGAAAAAGAAATAAAATAACTAAATTAAAACCAAACACTGAATGACTTAACAGGAACATGCTTATACAGTTCTTTACAAATTTGAATCTGGATGAGGTAATTTACTGTATCAGTGAAATTAGTTGTACATTGACAGATAAATCTTATGCATGACAAGTATAGCGTTTAATAACGGCAGACGAGTTATTTTACTTAATTACATCTTACAAGCTTGTGATGACATCATCAAGAATAAAAATCCCTCCCCAAATACATATATTTTTTAAATAACAGAATAATTGTAAATAAAACAAAATGGCATGGGCTCAAGCTAAAGAGATAACTCCTGAGCTACTATTTTCATGTTATCCTATATTTGTGTACCATTCTGTAATTTTTTTTTCAATTCCTTTGATGTATTTTTTCTCTAATATTTTCATCCGGCATGAATTCGCATTTTGGAATGCTGTGTTTAAGCATCCTCTCTCAAATTTAATTAAAATGTCTGGATATAAAATTGGTGTTTTCCTAGTTTCGTAGCTGCCCTGATTTTCTGAGATTTTCATTGAAGTTTTTTGCAGAAGTCTGAAATTCTACAGTTTTTAACAGTCGATCCATGCATTTCTGCACTCCATTCAGGGTTAGGTTTGTTTTGCTTATTTTCATTAAGCTTTCTCATGCATTTATTTTGCAGTTCCTGATAATATCAACGTGATTTTTGCTGCGCTGCCCATACCAATCCATACTGATCAGATACTCAATAATGAAAGTCGACATTGAAAATATATAAATACGAACTTTAATATTCTCATAGTTCAAAACAATGTCTGAATTTCTTGCTTAATTGTCAATGTATGTGGTCTCCGCTCATATTTTGATTCAAAAGTTAACCTAAATATTATTTGCTTACAGAATTAATTAATCATTAACTCGACAGTTCTTAAAGTCTTTGTGTATCAGTCTAACTTTGTGAAAGAATATTTTAACTTTGTGCTCTGAATTTTTGGAGCTGTAATATGCAGTTTCTTGGTCTTTTCTTATTATTTCTGATACCTTTCTTCATGGCACATTTTGAAACTATTCCCAAATTTTCCTGTAACTCATTTTCTGCCTTCTTTTGGTCTTCTGTTTAATAATAATAGCATCTTGTCATCGATACATATTATGGAACATTTTCTTCTTCTAAGATAGATTTTTTTAAGTCGTTTCACAAGTATTTCAGATAAAGTATGGGGCTAGGAAACCTTGGCTTCCCCTTTACAGTTTATTCTCCTATAAGTGTTATCAATTTTAACCTAAATGATCTTCCTCTAGATATTTTGAATAACTGTAAAAACATTGCTCTAACCTACCTTCCAGTGCATCTTAACATCTTTCATGACTTATACATCGTAAGCTTTTGACAAGTCGATGCTCAATGCTATCACATGCAATCCTTGTGTTTTTTCATTTTAATACTTCCCTAGATTTTCCAATAGGTCTGTGGGCTTTGCGTTTTGATATGCAAATTGATTTTTATCTATTATTTTATATTTTTCAAGATAGTGGTCAGTCTTGCGATTGTTATTTTCAAATATTTACCTATTGTGTTTATATCTGGAAATTGCTATAAGTTTTATAGATTGAAAGATGTTCCTATGTATGGTTGATAATGATACTTTTAATTCATCTGGAAAAGTCCCATAAATGCTAAGTTGATAATTTTCGTTTATAAAGGTGTTATTGAGTTGCTGTTCATTTTTATATTTCTCTTAATAGCTATTGTTGTCAATTCCTGGAGCTTTCATTACAGTCCATCCGCTTTAATTACAGAACATTCCTCTAATGTTATTTCAGCAAGTAAAAAGAGTACTTGTGTGTTATTAGTTTTTGCCAATATGCTTGGTTACTTTAGTACAATGTCTTCTGTTTGTTGTTGATAAGTGAGAGCAGAATCTTTCTACTATCGACTTGAGTTTACTCGTTTCTAAATTTCTTTATTATAATTCATAAAGATTTTTCTCTGTACACAGTAGTTATTATTGTTTTCAATTTTTTTCAATGTCATTTCTGCGTTTCAAATGAAATAGTTTGTTAGATATTCATTTTTCTGCTGGCTTATTTTTGCTTCCAATAAATTTGTGTTATTATGGCTTAATTTCATGTGATAATGCAAGTTGATCATCCCATTTTAAATAACCTTGTTTTTGCTTTTTCTTTCCTTTTGCAGTTAGGATTGTCTCTAATTTTTTTTGAGTGAATTTGACTATTACTTTGTAGTCTTTTGCCGATTGTGTTGTTTTACTCCGTAACTTCAATCAATTTTAAGCTCCATTAATTTTTCCCCAAAACCGTAACTGAAAAATCGACATGTTTTTTCCGACAATAGATTCTGTTCAAGTTTAACCCACTTATTTCTAAATTTTTGTCCAAAAGTTGTTGTTCCAGTTCTTAACTTTGTGAATTACACTACACTTTTTCATCCTTTTCAATTTCTTCTTAATCACATCAGGTCTTTTATTCCCGTCATCACCTCATATATTATTACTTAGGAATCTATAGTCGTTTATCTCGTTCATACTTCCATTGAGGTGTCTATTTGGCTGTTATTCCGCAATGCGTAGCAAGAGATTGGTGAGTTTGACTGGTTGATAACTTGGTACGGTGTTTACACTAGGTCTAGATTTTGGCACATCTCCAGCTTCTCTTCCTCTTTCAATTTTGCCCGATGCGTGGCTCGCTGCATCCGAGCAAGAGAACAATGAATACTCGGGTCAACATCCATTACGAGAATCCTCTTTCGTTCCATTTCCTCTTTCACAGTTTAAAACTGACATGTTTTACTCTTGGTGTTTTAGCAAGAAAGAGTTTGAAAGAAAGTTTTAATTTTATATTCTCCTTAAACCTTATTTGAACAGCTTGTGGTCGTGGCGATGGCTGAAAAGACTACGGGCGAAGCGAACAGTTCCGCGATGTGTACTGGCAACTTGATTTTCCTTCTTTTTAGGGTTGACTTGATTTCTTCCTTCCTAACAACAATCGATACTTCATACACTGTGCCCTAACAGCTCACAACACTTCTCACTGCACATAAACAAAACTACTTCCTTTGTTAATTTATTCTTTCACTTCCGGCAACGCATACGGCGTGGCAACCTACGTAAAATAAATAATAATAATAATAATAATAATAATAATAAAGGTGAAGAACCCTTAAAAACCCTCGTCCAGAAAAGCCCGGAGTTTAATGCCAATAAATGATAGTGGAAAAATCAACAAAACTATCGATGACCTTCAACTA